AAAGTTAGCTAAACCCACTTGTCTCTTGTTTTATTTCTCACTAGTAACTTGAAAACGTGTAAATCTGTGTAGAAACAGACACAAATTATGTGGTTACCTAGTCTTGCCTTGATCATAGATTCCCTCTTTATAAATTACCAACAGTCCATCACTGATTAAAATATTTTCTATAGATAAGATCTGCTGGATAATATAGTATATAGAATTAAGTTAACATACTAACATTTCGCCTTGGAAGTTTTAATCCACTTCAGGACACAAGTTCCTTATCAGAATTCTTATACACATAGCATAGTATAGTTTATTTAAATGTGCTCAACAGATGCTAAAAATTGCAAAAACATTAAGACAGTATTACTGTCACCACCTGGAAGAGATGTTCTTATGGGATCATATATGAACATGTCAATAAGCTTGCGTTAAGCCACCTGCTTTGTAAGTGGATTGAATAATAAATACCTTTGGTTTCCCTTGTCTTTGTCCTTCATAATCAGATAAGTGTAAAACAGTTTACAGTATAACATAAACATCAAAATGTTTTGTTTACATTAAACAATTTGTGATCCATTTATAAATGTGACCTTATCTAATTTGATGCCTGTTTGTCTGCTTAAAGCTGCTTCCCCTCTTTTTAAATCAGTTTGTTAGGAGTAGCATTTCTAATGCAGTGTCCATTGCTGGCAATAGACTTAACACCTCTGCAACTAAGGCATTAAGCAGGGAGAAGTTTTGTCCCAACATTTGTGATGAGTGGAATTTTCAAGCTTAATTGCTTTGTTAAAGGTAAATTTAATTTGATGGCTTAAACCACTTTTGTGTTAGATTTGGGGAGTATGGTGGGAGAAAGGGAACGTGTGATGATTTTTTTGGGGGTTGCTCCAAACTGTCAAGGTTTTAAATTAAACCTGCTTGAAGACCATGTACCTGCAGGGAACTGTGGGTGGGTGTGTGACTGAAGCTATAGTGGGGAGAGTTACAATGAATAAACGTTTACTGGAAAGACCCTAAGGCAAACATCTTCCATTCTTCAATGTATGTGAAGAAAGCAAGAAAAGGTAGATCACCACTGATGCTGCTCACCTGCTAGGTACTTGATGGGACCTGGGGGGGAAAAAAAAGACCTGTGGAAATAAGCCCTGAGGTGCATGTTGAGTCCACTTTGGCATTCCCAAGGGAGAGAGAAGCACAGATATTTTGTGGGATTTTTTTATGCACCAGATTTGGCTGCCTGGTACTAGAGGTATTTAAGTGGCCCATGAGTTGACTTATTTTATAACTGATACTGATGCTGTGTCTTGCTTTTAAGTGTATACATACCATGTTGTAATGTGATGTTAAACACTTACGTATTTGCCAGGAATCACAGTTTCCTGATATTATGTGCTAATGCAGGGGCTAATAAAGCTGCAGCCTACTCTTATTTCCAGAATGTTGTGACCGGACATAATTTAAGGAAAAGAAAATAAATGGGCTTTTGAAATGTCTACCACTTACTGTGCTTTACTTGCTTAGATGCATTGCCTTAAGTTTTCTGCAGCATCTTTGACTTTCAAGATAAGATTCTCAACAGTATGCATCAAATTACTTTTCATATAAAATTCCATTGTCAAAACAAATCCTTTTGTATGCAATAAATAAAATGTTAGACTGATAGCATTTGAAGGCTGTGTTTTCTTTCATTAAAATAGCATTCATGGTATGTTTTAATCCTCTAGTTTATAAGACTTCATCCAAAGAACAGCTCCCTAGCATTGCTGTTTATGTGCGTACATACAGTAGATTTATCTGGGGACGAAAGAAGTCAGTGTCTCCAATACAGAAGGATTAATATAAAGTGCTAGCTATATACAACACTCAATATCTATCATCTTAATTAACAGAGCAGGTTGTTTTGAAATACTGCACCTGCGTGGCCTTGTTAGTTTTTCCACGAATAGTCATTTATACGACTTCCAGAATTCTGTCCACTTCTGTTGTTAAGATAACATTTAGTCTTTCAACTGGGTTTACATGTATATTTAAGTATGAATGAAAGAAACTGCACAGAACTAAAATTTTCTCCTTCCGCGGGTGCTGCTTAAGTACTGACTGAACCAATGTAAAAGATGATACTTGAGTCTAGGAAAGTGACAGGAACGTGGGTAGAAAGGAACAAATCCCCAAAGCTTCCATGTGGATTGCTGTACAACAGTTTCCACATCCTTGATTGCATAAGAATTGAAAACTTAAAAGTAAGAGTGTGCATGCTTCCTTCTGAAGAAAACTGACAAAATGATTAAAACAGCTTGAAGTATCCCAAACCAGGGTCATACCATACCATATTTCAGTGCTCATCTTTGAACTAGTACCGTTTCCCCTGAGGTACCTTGAGTTACTTGGGGAAAGCTTGAGTTACTCCAGATACGATGTCTGGGCAGTACAAGTGTTAGGCTCTAAATGAGCAAACTTCTAATATACGAGAACTCTTCCCATGAGTTTGTTGTGTAAGACCAGCTTAAGGCATCTCATGCAGGCCTTTCCTGTTACAAAGGAGTCCCTGCTTAGAAATACCAGTTTAGACCCTTGAGGCCACTGCAGTAAGCCAAGCAACTACTTAGAAGGGCAGCCATCACAAAGAAAAACTGAAGTGTATTTCTTTACCCAGTACAGAGTAAACAAGGAAGGCAAGGCCAGGGCTCTGCAACACCAGCAGCATGGCAGTGTTCTGAGGAAGATGGGCTTATTTAAAGAAAACCTATTAAAACGAAGGGACAGGCACAGTGACACAACAAACATGTTTAACAAAGCATGGACTACACTAGAAAGGTTAGCTATAGAGCTCCATAGCAAGGAATTGAAAAAGCCTGCACTTGAAACCTTATTATCAAGGATTCTGGTTTTTCTGTTTAAAAATCAGATTCTCTGATAAAATACCACTAGAGAGAGAGAGAGAAATGAAATGCCACTAGAGAGAGAGAATCAGCTGAACACATTTTATTGATATAGTTACAGTTTTAAAGTTTGGAAGCCTACCAGTGCCTCAATCACTATAATAAAAGTAATGCTAAGTACTTAGGGTCCAGCTGCAGCTGTTCCACCCCCTCTCTTGCTTTGTGGCACTGAACAGCCCTGATATGCTGGTGTCCTGCCCATTAGGCCTGTGCGAAGCAGTTCGTATTTGCTTTGGATTCAGCTGATTCGGGGGACAGTGATTCAATTCAGTGTCCTGAATTGATCTGGCCACTGCCAAATCAAACAGGCCCCATCCCCCCCACCTGCTCTCCCAGCACCCAATGGCTGCCTCACCCGAGCCACCTTGCTCTTAAAAGAAAATAATTTAAAAATAGTAGTAATTTTTTTTAAAAAGAGCCAGGAGCTGGGGCAGCCATGGGGCGGGGGGGCACTCAAGGGAGCCTGGGAGAAAAACGCTATGGGAAGTAGTCATGGGGGTCCCCTACTTTCCAGCATGGAGTCTGGTCTTGCTCCCTTAAGCAGCGAGCGGGGACTGCCCTTATCTCCGAATAGATTCAGAAAGCTTTGACTAGATTCGGACCTTTTTACTGGTCTCCCAATTCAGAGATTGGGCCGGATCTCCTCCAAATCGAGCCGGCACCCGAACCTTTGCACAGCCCTCCTCCCATGTCACTGCCCTCACTCCCAGCCTACAGCCTCCCAGCCCTCTGGTGCCTCTCACTCAGGAGCCACAGGTTCCCCCCCGCCGCTGGTCTCCCACTGCCATGTGCAGGCCACAGGTGAGGCGCGAGGGCCACCAGCACGGCTGGGGGCTGCGGCTCCCGGCCCAGGCCCCACGAAGCACCCGGGATGGGCAGCCCCCTCCATGGGGGCCTTGACCCCCCCCTCCCTGGGGGCGCGGGGTCATGCTGCCCCGTGCGCCTCCTGCTCCCGGGCCTCGGCCAGCCTGCAAGGGGAAGCCTGCTGTTTCCGATGCTTTTCTGCTTTAAAGGAGTGTTTTTCTCCTTAAAAAGAGAAAACCAGCACTTTACCACGTTTTCCCGCGGGCAACGCAGAACCCGGCTCCCTGCTTCTAGCCCCTCCTAATGCCAGGGTCCTTCTGGCTGGAAAACACCAGACCCAGAGGATTTACAATTTAAAACAGGGAGAAGGGAGCACCCAGGAACGGAGCCCGGCCCTGCCCGCACCCGGCTGTAGCCCCAGGGCGGGGCGGGGCGCACGGAGCCGCCGCCGCGCCAGCGCCTGGGGGCAGCGCCCCCGGGGGCGGCCGGGCCCCGCGCGCAG